TTTTTTTTTTCCACCAACACCAGTCTCTGTTTTATTCTTCTTCGTCCTTAACCCTTCTCTATCCAAAAGAAGTGCCATATTCAATGGCCATGATAAAATCGGACACCATGAATATCGACTGTCAGGCTTTGTAGCGTGTTTCTTCTTCTACACAGGCCCTGTTGAGGATGAACCGAGATGTCACGTACGGCGAGAGAATAAAGCGAGTTAACCAAGTTATTATGGAGGTAAGCAGTTTGCCTACTGGATTATTACCGGTTTATCTTGTGCAATAATATAAACTGGGGCAAAGATATAACACTGGTGCATGTAAATGAATTGATATAAGACACCACACATGCACAACTAAATACTCAATTTGAGTATTTGAAGAGGTGTCCATGTTAATGTTTCGTCTGTCCTTGCTTACAGCTTGGTCTCGTCAAATGCGAAAACACCCTGATTGGTGTTCCAGGCAAGTCCAAGAGTATATCCGGAGGCGAGATGAAACGACTCAGTTTTGCCTGCGAGGTGAGCTATAGTTGAAAAGCAGAAATGACTCAGATTGATCAGATTTTGCCAAGAGTAACGGAAGGAAAACAGTACCAGGGAGAAAAGAGGACGCTAATTCAATTTTTTTTTCCTCCTCCGTCGCCACGGCAGATCCTGACCAACCCGTCCCTTATGTTCTGCGACGAGCCCACCTCCGGCCTGGACTCCTTCATGGCCCAGAACGTGGTGGCCGTCATGAAGAGCATGGCCGAACGAGGCAAGACCATCATCTCCACCATCCACCAGCCCAGTTCCGAGGTCTTCGCCATGTTCGACCGCGTCCTCTTCATGGCCGAGGGGCGCATCGCGTTCCTGGGCGAGGTCGACGCCGCCCTCAAGTTCTTCGGCAGGTAAGCCCTTGGCACCGGCAGGTGATGTCTCTATCCCTCGCCAACACACAGCAAAGTACCCTGAAAGATGATCGTAGGGAAGAAAAAGAAAATATTAACTGAAATTGGAAAAAAAATCACTGGAAAAGAGGGCTTTTAAAGTAGAGAAAAAGTCGGTTTAAAGAAAAGAAAAATGAATTTATAGAAAATAAAACACACAGATGAGAATTCCTCCATTCCTCCTCGACTCAAATGCCTCCCTTCCCCCTCTTTCCCCCCTTCCCCCCCACAGCATAGACCTGCATTGCCCGAAGCAGTACAACCCCGCGGACCACTTCATCGACCAGCTCTCCGTGCAGCCTGGCAAGGAGCTGAAGTGTCGCCAGAAAATTGACCTGATCTGCGACGCCTTCCGGTCGAGCTGCTTCCACGAGGAGATCAAGACCGGGGTCTTGGCCAACGAGAGGCCGAGGGACAGCGTGAGTGCCTGACGATTCGCTTTTACTTGCTTTATTTTTCCCCACTTTTATTGTTACTATATATTTTTTTTCATTTCCGTTTTTTTTTTAATTTGTTTTCCCCCTTTTTTGTTTTCTTGATTCTATTATTTTTTCCTTTTTCATTTTTTTTTCATTTGTTTTTTCTCTTGTTTATCATATTAAAAAAAAAATCTATATGATTTTTTTTCATTTATGTTTTTGTTTTTCGTTTATTGTTTCATTCATTTTTTTCCCTTTTTTATTTCTTTTTTAATCTATTTTTTTAATCTATTTGATTTTTTTCATTTCTATTTTTTATATTCTTTCTTTTCGATTTTTTCTCTCTATCTATTCTATCTTATTTGGTTTATTGTTTTTTATTTATTTGGTTTATTCTTATTTTAATCAATTTATTCTTATTCTATCTTATTTATCTTTATTTTATTTTGTTTATTTACTTTTATTTTTTTTATTCATTACGATCTTGTTTTATTTATGGATTCTTTTATGTTATCTTTCATTATTTTTTTTTTTCATATCTCTTTTCTTAATTTTCACTCTCCCCTTTTCTAAAAAAAAAGAAAATAACGTAGTTTGTTTCGGTTACTAGCATCACAATTCTTATATGTATTTTTTTTATCTAATTTATTTATGTTTATTAATTGACTTCCTATTATTCTTTCATTATTTGTTTTTCTTTATTTTCATTTCCACTCTCCCTTTCCCCCCAGATTTACCCAAAGGAAAATCCGGATGACGAGAGCTCTCCGTATAAAGCCTCTTGGTGCAAGCAATTCCGGGCCGTCAGCTGGAGGTCGTGGCTTGAGGTTGTGAGGGAGCCGTTTCTAATCCGAGTTCGGTTCTTGCAGATTATGGTAAGGCTGTTTCGTTTTGGTTGTCTGTCTGTCTGTGTGATTTGGTTTGTCTGGTTGGGTTGGTTATTTGCCTGTCTTGTTTTCTTGTGGTCTCTTTTTCTTTCTGTTTTTTTTTTTTTTTTTTTTTTTGTGTGTCTCTCTGTTTCTCTGTCCTTCTCTATCTGTTTAATATTCTCTGTCTGTCTGTCTCTCTCTCTCTCTCTCTCTCTCTCTCTCTCTCTCTCTCTCTCTCTCTCTCTCTCTCTCTCTCTCTCTCTCTCCCTCCCTCCCTCCCTCCCTCCCTCCCTCCCTCCCTCTCCCCCTCTCCCTCCCTCCCTCCCTCTCACTTTCTTTCATATGTCAAAATAGCTTTCCACTCTCTTAGCTTTAAATTTTATAGTCGTTTTCCAAATCTACGTCCTCGCCAAACCCATTTTAAGCCCAGTTTGTCCTCTGTCATACATTTATGAATCTTGAATTTTTCCCTATCTACCCCTGCGTATTTGTGACTGATACAAGTGTATGGCGTTGTGATTACAGGCGATAGCGATTATGGTGGGCGTATTGTACCGGGGACAACAGATGGACGAGGTGGGCGTGTTCAACATCAACGGCGCCCTCTTCCTCCTCCTCACCAACATGACTTTCCAAAACTGTTCAGCTGTCATCAACGTGAGTAAGCTTTTTTTGGAACTCATGAAAAATTGATTAAAGTGTTAGCTGAGTGTTGGTAAAAGTGAGAGAGAGTGCGTGTTTGTATGTCGTGTTTATAGATATATTAAGCCACGTGCGTATTTTTTTATTCGTGGAGGAAGGAAGCTTGGCAATCATCACTGCATATTATGAAAACAAAATCTCCAAAGAAAATCAAGAAATTACTGTCTGTAAACACTCCTCTCCTCTGCCCACACTTACACCCTGTATCTCCCTCCCCCACACACAGACATTCTGTTCCCAAAAGCACCTGTTTCTACGAGAGCACTACAACGGCATGTACCGCACTGACGTCTACTTCCTGGCCAAGAATCTCGTCGAACTGCCCTTTTTCGTTACGTACTCCTTCCTCTACGCCAGCATCATGTACTTCATGATTGGCCTGAATCCTGCCCTCGAAAGGTTCCTGGTCTGCGCCCTCGTCTCTGTTCTAGTGGCTCTGACCGCCGTCTCGTTTGGTGAGGATTTAAAAAAAATATTGTTACCTACGCCATGCCAAATATTGGATATGTTGTGATATCCGTAGATATTTTATGCTGTGTCTAATATGTCCAGTAAAAGAGTTGCCGACTAGCACACGCGCAGTACCAGGAAAGAGTTGGATTTTATTGTGTTGTGAATAGTGGATGAGTTGCTAAATACGAAAGGTCTTCCCCCCAGGCTATCTCCTGTCTTGTATGGCGAGCTCAGTCAACATGGCTCTCACCCTCCTGGCGCCTATGACCATTCCCATGATGTTATTTGGTGGCTTCTTCCTGAACGAGAAGTAGGTTCCTGGGAGATGTCCTTGCGGTTCTATATTTATGAAAATATAATGAAAACGGTTGTTGGTATTTTTATTTAATATATTTGGGATCTTAATCTCTTTTTATACCGTCCTTATTGATTCATTTTGCTCACCTTTTCCAACTTCTCCCCCGAAATATTAGATCAACGCCCACGTACATGATATGGGTCAAGTATCTCTCCTGGTTTAACTACGGCAACGAAGCCCTCATGATCAACCAGTGGGAGGGCGTGAAGAACCTGACGTGCACCGGCGTCAAAACCTGTTTCTCTGACGGGGAAGCTGTCCTGGCGCACCTCGGGTACTCAGACGACGATCTCTGGTGGGACGTGAGTTGCCTCGTCGTCCTCATCGTCGTGTATAGAGTGGTGGCCTTCCTCCTCCTCCTCCTCCGCACGCACAGGGGGAAGACGCGGTCGTAAGGGTCCGGGCGAAAGAGAAGGCCTTCCTCCACGTTCTTTTTTACAGGAACAGTGGTGACGAAGGTTTCCGAAAAGGTGCTCATTTTGGCGGACAATTTTTGCCCAACGAGATTCTCAAAGACAACCGGAAGTGACGTGTGCCCTTTAAAGGTAATCTCGAAAGACTGTCCGGTGTCTGACAATAAGACATCATCATCTGCATGAGAAGGAACTTTGATCCTTACGCCGCTATGACACACGGTTAGATTTGGCTTTTCGCGTTGAAGAGTTTTCTGTTTGATGTCATGTACGTAATCATGATGAGTTTTGTGATATTTAATGCAAATATATATATAAACAAAAAAAGTATTAATGCAGCTGGTGATGTTTTCGTATATTATTTCTGTTCTGTGTTGTTTATTTTTCCCTTGATACCTGTTATTATCCTTATTCGTTTCGTTACGGTGAATCTACACTTTAGTTATTATAGAAAAGTTAGTTCATCGTTTCCTTTGTATACAGATATTATATTGTTTTATATATGTATATGAATAAAATATAGAATTATTTGTTTTGTTAAAGATGTTATGTATCCTAGCTAGCACAGAAGTGTTTACAGTGACTCGCTGGAATGCAAAACAACAAAAGCCACGGGAGGGGGGGGGTTAAATATGAGAATATATTGCAAAAAATGAAGGTAATATCAGAGAGAGAGAGAGAGAGAGAGAGAGAGAGAGAGAGAGAGAGAGAGAGAGAGAGAGAGAGAGAGAGAGAGAGAGAGAGAGACAGAGACAGAGAGACAGAGAGAGAAAATGAAATGAGAGAGGGAAAGAGAGAGAGAATGAAATGAGGGAGAGGGAAAAAGAGAGAATGAAGAGTGGGTGAGGGAGAGAGAGATAAGGATA